ACGCCCCAGCAGAATCTTCTGCCAACAGAGGGTCCAGCTCCCAGGAAGGACAGGTGTCACGTAGAGAACCGGTGGCTAACATTTTGAGTGTGCGCTCACCCTTCTGGATCCCCCAAGAATCACCTGGAGACCATCCCAACTGGCTGAACTGGTGCCTATAGAGAGACAGCAGATGTTCTCATTTTGGGACAAACAAGCCTATTCTGCCCCAGAATTCTGTCCCCACTCTGAATTCAGAGCCAGCCAACCACGTAAATGCACGCTGGCTGGCTAAGAATTTGCACTTTCCAGAGTAGAATCTGGGGCCAGCTGAGGTGGAGGCCCAGCTGCACACAGAGGCTCAGCTGCTGGCAACGTTCACAACTGGTGCTGTCACCGCTGTCGTCACAGTAGTCGTCATGGCTGCTACACTTGACCCTCTGCGCCCTTGTGTCTGGTCACAGGACACCTCCTTTTGGGGCACACTAAGTGTGCCTCTGTGTTAACCATCCCAAGAAGGGACGTCCCAAGTAGGGGATGCAGGGTTGTTCCAAAGCCTCAGAAACTAAGACCTTTCTTTTCTTTTTCTTTCTTTTTTTATTTTTACATCTTTATTGGAGTATAATTGCTTTACAATGGTGTGTTAGTTTCTGCTTTATAACAAAGTGAATCAGTTATACATATACATATGTTCCCATATCTCTTCCCTCTCGCGTCTCCCTCCCTCCCACCCTCCTGGCACACTGAGCTGATCTCCCTGTGCTATGCGAGCTGATCTCCCTGTGCTACGCGGCTGCTTCCCACTAGCTATCTACCTTACGTTTGGTAGTGTATATATGTCCATGCCTCTCTCTCGCTTTGTCACAGCTCACCCTTCCCCCTCCCCATATCCTCAAGTCCGTTCTCTAGTAGGTCTGTGTCTTTATTCCTGTCTTAACCCTAGGTTCTTCATGACTTTTTTTTTTCTTAAATTCCGTATATATGTGTTAGCATACGGTATTTGTCTTTCTCTTTCTGACTTACTTCACTCTAAGACCTTTCTGAAGCTAACATCTGCTATTTAGGCCGTGATGTCTGCCAGACTTCGGAATAAGCACATTACGCTGCTGCATTTAATATTCTCCGAAAATCCACTGTTTTTATTCTAATTGGAGAGGTGAGGACGCTGAGGCCCGGAGAGGTGGACTAGCCTGCCCGGGGACACACCTAGTAAGACGAGGAGCCAGGCAGCCTGGCTGCAGAGTCCATTGCACCAGACAGAATGTGGAACAGCACCAAAAGCAACCCCTCTGCCACTCCCTCCCCACTGTGCCTCTGAGCAGAGAGAAGGTGGCATGTGAGGGTCAGGTTCTAAGAGTCATGAAGGACATCACAAGAGCCCTTGTGACCCCACTGCCAGTTCACCCACTGAGTCATTCGTGCCTGCTGTGAGCCCTCGAGCATCCCCGGCCAGTCCCGGGACAGCATAGGCGACGCAGACGTCTCTAAGACACCATCTCCTGTCCTCTAGGGGGGCTGGGAAGCCCAGTGAGGGCAGGGGTCGTGTCTTGCCTGGGCACCAGTGCATCTCCACTCAGGGAATGGATGAATGAATGCAAAAACCAAGGAAGCGATTCCACAGAAACCCAGGATGAAAAAAGTCCCTTCAAAAACAAAAAAGTACCTACAGGTAATGATGCATATCCCATAATCTAATCTGTATGTTCATTTTGCAAAAATAATGAGATGTTAGCAGTTTCAGAATGAGTGTTCTCTTACTCTGCTTCCCCCGACAAGAAACACTATCTGCTCTGCATTAAAATTATAGCAAGAATTATCCCTTAGCAGGAACCATATGATTTGAATGCACAGATGAATTTCAATTAGACATTTATCTAACCATGCTGATGTGTTTTCAATTTAACCCTAAATTACAGACTTTTCAAATAACTCTACTCTCCCCTCTGCTTCTCTCTCTTCAATTTTGGTTTGGTTTTGTGAAATGTCTGCTGGTAAAATGAAGCAATACCAGTAACTTATCTACAAATTACGGGAAGGAGAAAGTAGGTTAAAAAAGACCAAGAAACTTAAAACAAGCATTATCAAACCACATCCGAGTTAGGCAGGAAACAATAGGAGACAGTTCTTGCTCAGAGGGAAGGAAGGTAAATCTTACCAGGACTATTGTCAAACAAGTCACAGATGAGATAAACTCTTCCCGAATTTCAACTGCAGTCATCAGAATACACAAACTTCGAATTCGCACCCAGGGAAAGGCAATAACCGGAAGTAGAAGGCTGACACTTTCACTTGGGCTGGCAATTCCTTCCACACTCAAAAGAATCTCCTTCTCAGTTCAGGTGTCCACCACACGAGCGCCATGCATCTATCACAGCGGAGGCAGGAATTCATCCCAAGGGGAGGCCATTGGGAAAAAGAACAGATCTCCTAGACAATCCCGCCAATTAGAGGGTTCAACTAAAGTGGGTATCCTAAGCTGAGAGGTCACCAGTAACTTCCTGCAATTTGCTTTTGCTCTAATTGCAAATCCTCCATGTATCAATGTCAATATCCTGCTTGTGACACTGTACTAGTGTTTTGCAAGATGTCACCACTGGGGAAAAACTAGGGAAAGGGTAAGGGATCTCTCTGTATTATTTCCTGCAACTGCATGTCAATGAATTGCAATGAAAAAACCCTGCAAACCCAAGCACCCCAACAATCTCTGGGTCCATCTCTTGGAACACTAAGTCTAACTTCGGCAGCGAGGGTCTTATAGAGTCTTATAGACATTCTGCAATGAGCTATTAGCAGTTATCTTGGGCTCTGGAAATCATGTGACAAAACAAAGTCCAAAGGAACCCACTCCATTCCGGTCTGTTATTAACATAAATTTAGTATGAGTTAGCAGCAGGCTGGGTGGGGGCGGACTGGGCAAATCTGACGGCAGACACATGCCTCATCTGATGCGGGCGGCTTCTGAGAAGCTTCCTGCAGGAACATATGCACAACCGGGACCAGATCTTCTGACTGTTCAAGACCATCCTGAAATCTGGACTTTCATGTGAAACTTCCCAAATGTTAAAGTTGGCGATTCATAAAATTTTCTTTCAAACACTGTAAAGACCAAACCAAGCAGCTCTGAGGGCCAGACTGCAGCCTGTCAAGCACTTGATGGGCACTTTAAATCTATCTTCTCCCCACCCTCACCACGGCCCTCCCGAGTGGGACCTACACTCGCTGTTTTCTAAATGGAGTAAAACGACTTGCCCAGGGTGACCCACTGGCTGGAGGGGTCCTCAGCAGCCCTGCCTGGGGGCCCTGCTGATTCTTCTGACTCAACGTTCCATTACTTGCATTCATTCAGCAAAAGCGGGTTTAGGAAAGTTGCAAACAAATTATCTCCAGCTGCATCAACACTAAGCCAACTCCACATTCTCTAGCCCATGTGTCGTCACAACATGGACCACTAGGGGAGCCCTATCCTATTCATCACTCGTCACCCCATCACTTCCAGGTTAAATCCTCTCACCAAACACTACTCCTTCCTTTTAGAGCACATATAAGACTTGAGATAGTACACTTGCTTGTAAGCTTAATCAAAATCTGTCTCTCCTGCTGGACTGTAAAGCTCCAGCGTGACAAGGGCTATCTAGGTTTTGTATATCCCCAGAGATAGCATGATGCCTGAGCCAAAGAAGGGGCTTAATAAATACTTCTTGAATAAAGCAAAGAAGGGATAGGCCAGACAAGAACCATGACAAGGCCCTATTCAATTCAGCTGAACTAACGCCACCACCAATGAGGACAGAAGGTTTCTGGAAACCTTTTCAGAGGCTCTAATGAGCCTTAAAAAGCACAGTGGCCCGGCCAAGACACTGTACAGGGGAAAACCCAGAAGGGCAGGGACCTCTTATAATTGTACTCCATGCAGTGCTGGCCCTTCACGCTCCGGGATCACTCTCCAGGATCACTCTCCACCCACTCGCTCAGATATGACCAGAGTCGACTGCCCAAGGGTAAGCCCAGCCCCTTCACCTGCGTGCCGACTGAGAACCGGGCTGCAGAGACAGAGCTCTCATGAAACGGCCTTTGTGTAAACACCTCTCGTTTCAGACGTGTATGTGGAGCCTACGCTGCAGCAGATCCAATGACAGACAAGACGCCTGCTCAGAGCAGGTAAGACCTTTAACGAGAAGGAACCAGGAGCAAGGGCCTTCCAGGCAGTGCGTAGGGTTAAGGGCACAGGTGTGGAGGGAAGAAAGCACAGAGCACGCTGGGGAAGAAGCAAGCAGGGCCAGGACTGAGGTAGCCCGGAGCTCAGTGTGTGTGTGAACAGGATGGGAGGAGGGAAGGCAGGCAAGACACAGGGCCAAGCAGGGAAAGCCTCGGGAGAAGTCATCACCCTGGTGATCAGGGTTTCCCTTTAGCAGAGCACAAACATGCACAAACCACAAACATGCTGTTTAGGCCACAGTTGGTGATAATTTAAAACTTGCGAGTATCTGCTTAAAAATGAAGCTTTCCAGTGTCTCCAGAAACATGAGAAAACCTGGCAATACAGCATCCACGTTCCTGCAGAACAACTGGAGGCTGGGGTGAGCAACGGCTGCTCACAAAGGACATACACACCCTCCAATTTGTCACAGTCCCCACTGCTCCCTACTACCCTCTCATGGGGCCTGTGTCATTCACAGATGCTCCCTGCCCATCCTCTGTAGATGCTGGTGCCTCGGACAAAGTATTCTCTCATTCGGACCCAGTAACAGTGTCTCACAGATACACAACCGAGGCCCCAGAACAGGACAATTCCATGTTCAATAACACACGCTCAGTCACATCCACTCTTAGTACCCGACCCCAGATTCCTCTGGGTATGCGTGTCAAGACTGATTAGGTTCCCTGAATCCCAGACCAGCTTATGCATCATCAGTGCTGTAATAAGCAGGATGTTGGTTTCTGGTTTTAAAGAAACACACATTAACAAAATGAGCAATGGCTTTTTATCAGGGTCTCAAAACAGTCCCCCACTAATGACTTACACAGCTTCTCTGAACATCCTGTTCGGGCTTAGTGTACGTCTCAGACAGATCGCCGTTCAGAATGACTTCAGCTAATGAGTTCACCAGGGGTGCGTGATGTATAATTAGGAAGACCTGGTGAGGGGGAAAAAAAATGGGATGCACATTAAAGTGTGCAGACTTTCAACCTCTTCCTTCCTTGATCTGAAACAACAAGGCTGGGCTACATGAGTCTCAGCAGCAATCCTGGTGGTGCAAAACCCGAAGAATGGGTCACACTGGGGAGAAACCAGTTATACTCTTCTCCTTCTAGGGTTGGGCCCTCCTTCTTTCAGACTGTTACCTATTTGGCTGGCTGTTCTTCGGCGGAAGGAAGTGCATCAAAGCGAGACTGTCCCTCAGGCCGGCTGCAGCCAAATCTGGCTGAAGTGGAGCAACGTGAGAAGGGAGTGCCAAACCCACACCCTCCTTCCTCTCCACAGGCATTTCAGTGTCAAATCCAATTAGGATAAGACTAGGAGGCACCGGCCCAGCACTTCGGTTACATGGAAGAAGGGGCTGGCGAGCCCTGCTCCAATCGAGGACTTGGCAGAGGATGTCTATGCGGAGATCCCATCCTGGAATGAGCTCTGACCCTTGCGGTGGGTTTGAGCGCACCAGAATTCCAGGGCAGCACTGGGAGGTGTGGAAGCCATGGGGAGGAAAAGCCGCACAAGCCAGAGACAGACCGAGTTGTGCCAGGAGGCAACATCAGAAGGTGCTGGGCTGTCGGGGATGGCCCGGCCACCCCACCCTGCTGCCCAGCGTTCAGAGGAATGGCTTGAGTAATCAGGGTACCAAAACCGCCTTGCAAAGCTGGCTCAGACACACCTGCTGGTTTCTTTTAAAATGTAAAGGCAACACGGTACCACAGTGCAGTGTGGGATGTGCCGACCATCTGTATATCAGAGGGTGTGTGCGCCCATTTGTATTTGCTTATATATACAGGGAACAGGGTCTCGAATCCTCGCCACTACTGTCAGGCGATACATCTTTGCTGTGGGGGGCTGTCCTGGGCACTGGAGGATATTTGGCAGCATCTCTGGCCTCTACCCACTAGATGCCAGCCGCAGCCCCTCCCCCAGGTGTGACAACCAGAAATATCTTCGGACACTGCCAGACGTCCCCCCGGGTGGGGCGAAATCGCCACCAGTTGAGAATCCCTGGCAGAGTTCTCCCCGTCTCTGGAAGGACCCGGGAAGACCCTGAAACTATAGCTGTCTCTGGGGAGAGAAACCAGGAGACTGAACAAAAGTAGAAAGGCAGCTTGGTTTTCACCTGTTTGAACTTTATAACTTAAAAAAAAAATTATTAAAAAAAATATTGTAAAAAAAAAAAGGAAAGGCGTAAACTAAAACACTGGCTGCCTCTGGGGAGCGGGACTGGGTGTGTGGGGGACAGAGGTAAGAGGGAGATTTTTCCCTACATGTTATTTTGTACTGTTTGAGTAGGGTGAATATATTGTTCAAAAAAATAAATACAATTCAGATTAAAGGTACAGGCAGAATAGACAAATGTGATACCTACCTAAAAACAACAAAAAAAGCACACCTGTTTTTAAAACACCAAAGAAACGCTACCATAGACAATATGACCAAATGGGTTAGCCCATGTCCAGGGCTGTGGCAGGCATTCAAGCATGGGTGACTATGATGATGACGAAGGAATTCAGTCCACAAACATTCAGCGAGCGCCTGCTAAGGCCGGTGTGGACACACATGGTGTTCGTTCCCTCCTGGGCTCTGGATGGAGAAAAGCCTGGGGAGGGCCGGTCACTGCAAGGTACGTGGAAGCGTGTGTGGGCCAGACTCGAAAGGCTGGGCCAGCCTGTCCGAGTCACGCTCTTGTCCCCAGTGGTGGTTTAGTTTCGGCTGGACAGCATCCTCATCACACCAAATGAACATCGTTAATGTGAATTTTCTTGGTTTAGTAGCGATGTTTGTAAAATAATTTTTAAGGATGTTCTGATATAGAGTTTAATTAAGGACCGGGATTTATACCCAATTCAAGGTTTTCACACATTCGGGCAACGTGATGATAAAGCCCCATGGAAATGCAGGGGAGCGAGAGCCGTTTACTCAGGCTGAGGAACGCCAATGACAATGCTTTTTGTGAGAGACTGAAACAAGTAATTAGGTGCCTGAGCTGCTGGTCCTTCACGAGGAAAGCAGGAGAAAACGGGTTCTCGGAGAAAAAGTGTGTCCTGACCCCCATGCTCCTCGGGGTGCACCAGCAGCTGAAGGGTCCTGGGGGCCTTGCCATGGGATTCCTGTGGCTCAGCATCTGGCCTGCTCGGGTCCTGCCAGACTCCCAGAATCCCAAGCAGGAGAAGCTGGCGGATTTGTAATGAGGCGGCGGAAATTGCTGCCAGGAGGGGCGGGGCTTGCACGGAGCTCCATGGCACAGAGGGGCATTCAGGAGTCGGCGTGCAGCTCTGAGCAAACAGAGCCCCCAGAACAAGACTCCGGGAGCAACGTGAGCTGGCCACATGCGGATCCTGGTTGGCCCGGCCACTGAGAAGAGGCCAACAGGAGACAGACCCGCCTCAAACTCAAAACGGCCCAGGGACCAAGTGAGAAGGACATGCTCTCAGCAAAGCAAATAAATACCTGGGCCACTGCAAAAGTGGGAACAGAGCTCTGGTCAAACGTCTGGCTACTTGACAGTCTAATGAGATGGCCTGAGAGTCTGGACTGCTTGTAATAAAAATATTTTTAAAGTTATGTAACTGGGTCACCATGGAGTTTTTCCCTTCTTGTAAATATTATATAATTACGAGAAGGAAACACACTTGTTTAAGAGGGGGAGGCAGACAAATTGGCTCAAGACACAAATCTGGGTGCTAAGCCTGCTACAAGACACTTTCCATAAGGTAATCTGGGAACTAGAACCATGACAAAAGCCTTTAAAAACAGCCTCATTAGTAGAAGCTTGTTAAGCCCCGGTTGCTGTGTGTGTACACACACTGGGTCCTGCAGTTTGGGGCTTATTTCAACATGGCTGAGAACAGGGGCCACCCAGCCCACATTTCCAGGGTATTTAGAAGACTCCTTGCTTGTTTTGGAAACCTCAGGCCCCACAGTAGAAACCAGCTACATATTTGTCAGGTCTGATTTATTTCTCCTTAAATTTCCAAGTACTACCATGAAGAAGATACATAGTCCCTCTACTCAGTGTCGTTACTTTACTTCAAGATGGGGGACACAGAGAAGGAAGATGGGGCAATGTGGCCTGGGAAATTTCTGAAAGGCAGCAGCACTCCAAGGACCCCCAGTGTGCTGGAGACACAGGTGAACGATCAGACGTACCTGAGACAGAAGGTAGAGAGAAACCGGCAGGCTGATTTTCGGTCGTTCTCCTCCCTGGTGAAGGTTGGGGGAAAGAGAAAGAGAAACCTGGGTTACACATGTGAGCAGCACAAAATCCATGAAGCCAGAAGCCATCTGTCTGAAGGAGCAGCGCCCAGCACCCCGACTTCCTCCAAGACCCTAAGATTCTTCTTTCCTGGTGGCAAAGTCCACCCTGCAAAATAAGCTCACAACCTAATCCTATCCGATACCATTTGCAAGGCCGCTATTCTTCCACCTGAGAAATCTTTCACCATGAGTCATGGATTAGAGGCTGGACCCCAGAGAAGAACTAGCTCCTTAAATTACCAAGAATGTTAATTTCCCCCAGCTTGGGCACCAAGAGCCGGAAGCCCGGCAGGAGAGGCCCCAGGGGGCCTGTTCTCAGGAGAGGGGCAGGGAGAAGTTGGGGCACTCTGGTCTCCGAGAAGCCCCTCATTTGTACTGGGCTTCAACAAGCTCCATCTCCTACCAACCCCGTGAGGATCTTCAAGACCCCCGTTTTGCTCAGGCAGGTTGACTGCCTCATCCAATGTCGCAGAATGAGGAAAGGGAAGAGGCAGAGTTTAAACCCACGTCTGAAAACTCCAATTCCCATGCTTTCTCTCTGCCTCCCAGAGCTGCAGCTGGCAGATCTCGTTAGGGTTGCAATTTTCTTTTATTCACTTATTTTTAACAAGAAGCACCACGTTCCATCTCCAAAAAGAAAGCTATACCTCCTTGGGACACATCTGCAGAGGCCGAAGCCCCTGCAGAGTAACCAGTTGGCTCTGTCCCGCCTCCTGCCAAGGCCTCTGTCCCTTAACTCTTAGAGGTACTGGCCGAAGGTCTCCCCTCCTTGAAGTGGCATTTCTCACGGGGGCACCGAGAGCCACCAGCTCAGAATCACTTGCGGGGCAGGTTCCCGGTCCACTCCAGACCCACTGAGCCAGCATCCCTGAGAGGAGTGAGAGGGCATCCGAGGACGTGCACTTGAACAGGCTCTATCCCCACAAGGGCTTCGAGCCGTAACTGTGGACAATCACTGCCCCGGAATCTTTTCCTAGGTGCGCTCCATCCCCTCCTGTCCATTCTGTGCAAGTGTTGTGGCTGGTTGGATCTTCTCCAAATCAATTACCTCTGGCAACTATCCGAAAAAGTTACCAGGGATGAGAACACCTCAAGAGAAGGATGCATAGAAACCAAAAGCCTGAATCTGTAGAGGTTTCCTGTTTCCTTCTGATGTCAGTAATCTTTTCTCATTCATTTACAGTCCACACACACACACGCACACACATATACTCTGTCTCTCTCTCCCTCTCCTTCCACCCCCTCTCAGGAAATAAGAGGAAAGGAAAGGGAAGCCAGCGTGCTTTGAAAAGAATCTCCCTCAGGCTCAAAGGCTTGGTCCCTTGCAAAGCCCCGTCCTATTGGGGTGACTGCTCTTCCCCTCCTACAGACGACCCTCAGCCCGGCCCACCTTGTCCTGGTTCTCCAGCGAGTACACGTAGAGCGGCAGGAAGAGCCTGTTGAGCAGGTGGTCTGTGAGCACGTCGTTGAGGAACTCGCAGTTAATGATCAGGATGTCATTGAGATAGTGCAGGTGGTCCAGATGCTCAGCCACCAGGTCACTCAGCTTCCCCCGATTCCGATGCCTGCCGGGAGAAATGCCCATCTCAGCCCGGACGCCAAAGCTCAGAGCCTAGAACCAATGGCCTGAGACTGAGGTCGCAGGTGGCACTTCATTCACAAACGAATACCTGAGCCAGTCCCGAGAGACACCCATCCTGGCCCGACCAGTGGATTTCAGAAAGAGAGGATGGACAGGTCTGCTTCATTCGATCTTAGGGGACTCATGGGGTCCCCCCACTTTCCGGGGGCCTCAGTACAACTCACCCCACCATCACCACAACAGCCCAAAACAAAAGGGGTAAACAAAGCAAAACCCAATGAAGCTCTTAGCAAGCCATTTCAAGCAAGAGCAGCCACTGGTCCAAGTGGCAAGATCCCTTGGCTCCCAAGATCAGCAGCATCAATGGAACAACAAATCCGCGATAATTAAAATGCTCCAGGGGAGTTCTGAAGAGAGAAGCAGGCCTCAGCAGCCGCGTCCAACCCACAGGCCCCGTCCGTATGGGGGGCACAGTGCAAGGACGTGACACCCCACCCCAAGCCCAGGAGGCCCTGCCTGCTTCCAGTGAAGAGTGGATCGGTCTCTGCCAAGGACGAAGCCTTGAAACACCGATGGGGCACTTTCACCTCCCCCTAAGTGCTGTCGGTTGCAAAGAGCAATCTAGCTACCATAAGACCTTTTATTTTTATTATGATTATTATTCAAGTAATAGATGGTCATTGTAGAAGACAGACGAAGAAAATAAAAGCAAAAAGAAATCAAAGTCTCCTAGTCCCACCACTAACAGATAATATTACGTTATTTCCACGTCCCTATAGTCACATCTAAAAGGCAGGTGTTACATGTCTATCAATCTAATCACATATGCTTTAAAAAAAAAAAAATTTGCTTCTTTTACATAATTTAGGATAATTATTCCTCATTATGCTTTAATAAGATGTTTAGTAAATATTTATAGCAAATACACATTGTAAAGCCTAATACTATAATGAGCACCCATGAATCTACCTCCCATGAGACCCAGAACATTTATTTATACACAATGTTTTGCAACCCCTCCCCCGCACTTAATAAGATACTGTGTTCATTTTCCTCCAGCAGGATCATTAATGCACTTCACTTTTTAAACCTTTAGTTTAAAAAATATCTAAGTAATACATGCAGATGGATTTAAAAATCGAATAGTACTGATGAGCTGATAATAAAACACAGCTGCTCCTGGCCTCGCCTCCCCAACCCCTGTCCACTCTCCAGAGGAAGCGGTTTTCAACTCTTTTAGGTGTTTCTGTGGATAGTTCCTCCTGTATTTCTATAAAATCGACAAGGACCTCTATTTTGCGACTGAGCCATTTTAGATGTTACATAATGACCTCCTTTCATTGTGTTCCCTCCACCCGTCCCCACCCGGCAGTCATCAGCAACTGGTGTTGACATTATAATCATTCACTGCAGAGCCCCAGGGAGGACCAGGAGTTCACTTCCTTCCTCGTATAACTTTCTGTTCTTTCTGGAGTTGTGTCTCGTTATGCCTCATATCCATGACTATCCATATCTATATGGGTCCTTATCCTCCCAAATGCCCCATCAGATCTGCCATCCACCTCACCTTGCTTCTTTCCCAATATGGAAGCTAATATTTTCTCTCTCTCTAGCCCTCTGCCCCCAGGAGACCTCCTTCCTGAGTCCCTTCATCGTCCTGACCCCATCTAGGTGTGCCTCTTACCAGATCTGTGCGAAGCTGTCACCCTGGGGCAGTGGTTCTCAACTGATACAATTTTTCCTTAAGGGAGACGTCTGGCAGTGTCTGGAAACATTTTTGGTCTTCACAATTGGAAAGGGGGTGCTACTGGCATCTAGTGGGTGGAGGCCAGGGATGCTGCTAAACACCCTACAACGCATAGGACAGCCCCACACAAAGAATTCCCTAGTTCGAAAGATCAATAGTGCAGAGTCTGAGAAATCCTGTTCTGGAACTTATATTCATCACCAACTTAATTTTTTTTTTAACAGATTTACTGAAATATAACTCACATACCAAAAACGTCACCCAAAGTACACAATTCAATGTGTTTTAGTATATTCATTTCCCCCACACACCCCTCCTCCAGCCCTAGGAAACCACTAATCTACTGTTTCTAGGGATTTGCCTATTCTGGGCATTTCATATAAGTGGAATCATACACTAGGTTGTCCCTTGCATCCTTTCACCGAGCATAATGCTTTCAAGGTTCATCCATGGTATATGTGTCAGTACTTCATTCCTTTTTATCGCCAAATACTATTCCACTGCATGCAAATACCATATTTTGTTCATCCATTTACCAGTGGCAGATCATCTTCATCTTTTTTACCAGCTGCCTAGCACCCCATCTATGGATGTACTGGATTCACTTACCCTATTCCCCTCTGGGAGGTATCTGAGTTGTTTCCAACTTCCTACTGTTACGCAAAGTGGAAAGATGGGCAGAACCTTTCAGAGTATGGAAGTCCATATTCCGCGAACACATAGGTGGGTAAATTTTGTTCTAGTGTTTATTTTTTCTCTACAAAAACGGAATTCTCCCCTAAGCACCCTGTCTACCTAACAGGCACCCTGGGGGATCACTTACTCCTCATCCGTCTGCACACAGTTGTCAAGTTCGATCACATGGCTCCCGATGAACCAGACCAAATTGGAGAAGTAAGGGACAGCAGTTTTATCTCTGATATAGTGCAGCATGGCCTGGTTATCCACTGAGAAAATCCACAAAAGAAGAGGGGAAAAAAAAAAGTCAAGCTACCAAATATAACTTGGGGGATATTAACAACAACAACAAAACCACAATAAAAAGCCCTCTACTATAATCTGAATCTTTTCTGTCTTTCCTGGAAATACTTTAAAATGGTTACCTTATGCAGAAAACTATACTCATCAAGGTAGTTCTTACGTTATTTTTATAATTAATAAAATTAATTAATAAAGGTAGACATTAATAGTGCTTTAGGGGCTTCCCTGGTGGCGCAGTGGTTGAGAGTCCGCCTGCCGATGCAGGGGACACAGGTTCGTGCCCCGGTCCGGGAAGATCCCACATGCCGCAGAGCGGCTGGGCCCATGAGCCATGGCCGCTGAGCCTGCGCGTCCGGAGCCTGTGCTCCGCAATGGGAGAGGCCACAACAGTGAGAGGCCCACGTACCACAAAAAAAAAAGAAAAAAAATAGTGCTTTAGGAAGCCTACTTATCAGCAGTGCATTTAGCTAGACTACAATGAAAACTACACCATTCTCAAGCAAGTTTCCTGTATTTGCATGTAAGGATAAGTTAAGAAAGCAGAAAACCAGAAGTTATTAACTTACATGACACTGGAATAAGGAACACGGGAATCGTCATTGAAGGAAAGGCAAAAAACAGACAACAGTTAACAGGGTTAGGAACTGGGAGGGTGAGACAGCTGCTCAGAGGGGCAGAGAGCTAGGGCAGGAGGCGTCTAGACAGAAAGACGCAGGTTAGAAGAGAACAGAGAGAGCAGAGAGCAGGAGGCGGCCAGACTGGGGGTCAGACCAGGTCGCAAACTCAGAAGCCCACAGGCTGGCCAACGATAACTTGGTGAGCGAAGCCAGCCGGCCCAGTGGGTGAATGGGGCAGCACAGGCCTTGACCCCAAAGGGGGAAGCTGCTTCTCCGCGTCAGCTCACCACTGCCCTGCAGGACTGTGGGCCCAAACAGCCACATCTACATTTTCAAGTCAGAAATCCAGACTGTTACCCAACCTCTCCCAAGTTTTAAATACTGACAACTATATTTTTTTTTCAAAAAATATCTAAGCCAATGAAAACCTGTCTGAGAGCTGGATTTGGCCCTCAGGTCCTCAGTTTGCGACCCCCGGATGGGCCCCTCTGGGCTCTTCAAAGGCTCTCCAATTTAAGGCAACCCCAGAACCAGGCTGGAGTGAGTCCCCGAGGAGCTCCCGCCCCCTCCCAATTAGGAGTCATCTCAATTAATAACATCATAACTCATGAAGGTCAAAACATTGGTCCCTGAGAAAATGGGATCCCAGCTCTAGGGTGGTGACTACACGGGAAATAACCCCGGTGTTAGGCAGAGAGGCCGTAGCCTTGGAGGGCAATTCCAGGTCGGGAAACTCGTGTCCAGCCAGCCTTTGTGCTAGTGCAGGCGGGGAGCCACGGAAGGGCTTTCTCCTGGAGGCAATGATTTGGGCATTAAGTACTTCTTGGGAGAAAAGAGGAATTTGTTGTTGGGCTTTGTAGCCGGTTGAGAATGCAATACTGCCCCCTGCTGTTTGCGACAAGAAATGCTCTCATACATTATTTAAAGATAACATACCCCCTGGCTATACTGAAGTATATTTTACAGGCCAAAGGCAAGAATTTAACTCTCACATTTCAAAGACAGCTTTGCCTTACCTAATTATCACATGGCCGATCCGAGTCCCACATGTGCCTCTCTTAGGACATGCATGACTTCTGGGTATCAGCAACGAGTTGGGCTTTCAAATGCAGAAGGTGGTGGCACACAAATTTATGTAAGGGGGCAGCTAAATGTTCAGTGATGACAACCTTTCATGAGACAGGCAGCCCCAGCTACAATAAATGAGCTGTCACCACCAGGGAATTGTTTGTATGGACTCAGGAGAGCAAGCACTAGCAGTCAAGTTAGAAACCCGATGAGGCATGAGCTCATAAGGAACCTTACCTTTGTAGACGTTTAAGGTTATGGTTCTTACAGCAATTCTAACCATACTTTCGGGGTGATTGAAAAATTTGATGGCTTCTGTGTACAGGGCGAAGTCATTAGTGTGCTAAAACACAAGAAGTACCGAAAATGAGTTACAGACCCATAAGACAGGCTGGCCCCTATCCCAGCTTTCTGAATCCTATCAGAGACTTCAGTAAAAGACCAAAAAAAAAAAAAAAAAGTACCCACGTGACCCTTAAGCCAGTGGTTCATTCCCAATGGGGAATGTGGGGAGGGTTGGGAAGGTGAGACCGTGGAAGAAACAGAAGCGGGTCCAGGAAATGCCAAGCCTGGGTTCATGATCTTTCCTACCACTTCTTAGCTGTGTGATGTAATATTTCTAAGCCTCCGATTCTTCATCTGTAAAATGAGGATAATAATTCCCACTTTATGGTTGCTGGGATTAAATGAAACTATTTCAGGTACAGTGATTACCCTGGCACCTGATACCTAATGAGCACTCGGTAGTAATGCTAGTTGTTATTATTAGATGCCGCTTCTACCAATAAAAGGCAAATGCAAAGTCTGACTACATTCAGAATCTATAATATATATTTCCCTATTTGGAAACACTAAAAGTGTAAACATTATCATGGAAAAGGAGGGTCTCGGGAACCTTCTGCCATTAAAAAGGGGTCAGCAGAACAGATCAAAACAGTTCAGAACCAAAGAACTCTACTGATGGAGCCCTAAGGAAAAGGCACACAGGATGCGGGCTACAGCACGCTGCGGCGCACTCTGCTGCCCTCTCCTGGCCAGTCTTCCACATAGCTCCTGATCAGACTGGAGGGCACCCCCAGGCAGTGAGGGGCGGGGAAGAGGGAACCCATGACCTTCAGCGAGGTGACACCTGTCTAATGAAGGCAACGGCACTTTGAGCACTAGAAGCAGATGTGCACGTAACAGGTGGTAGCTACTGCACTGGTCCACAGAAAAGGAAACTAAGTCCACCTCAAAAATCAGCCTCCTACCACTCCTCTGGTGATCAGCAGGATACTCTTCCAGAAGCATCACTCGGGCCCCAGAATCCCCACATTCTGCCCTCCCCACCAGGTGCACAGAAGCCCAGTTGCACCCGAGATGGGGAACAATCTGGCTCCCTCTCTGGTCTGAACTTTGCAGGTGGGTTTTCTTCCACCCGGGAGAGCCTCTGGGAGAACGCGAACAGCACACCTCTGGTCTCTGGACACGTTTAGTGAGCACCAACTGTGTGCCAGGCACTGGGCCGCACAATGTCCATCTTCCAAAGTGCCCCACACTTTGTGACTGGCAGCTAGGACTTCTCCCCTCTGAGGCCAGCTCTCGCCACTACAAATCTAGACAAAGAAAGTCAAGGTGCAGGCTGCTGCTGCCACATCCCGTGGAGACAGCTAGATGAATTTTGCCCGAACTCAGAGGAAATGTTTGGGACTATGGTCTGACTTCAAATACAGGCTGTGCAGCATGTGTGACCACCGATCAGAAGACACCGGCCATGCAGACAGCACGTGGCCTCCAAGATGGCCCAATGACCCTCTCCTCCTGAAGTCACAACTTGTGCATCCTCTCACGCTAAGTCAGGGCTGGCCTGTGCGGCCTAAAGGTACAGTGGAAGTGATGGCATGTGGCTTCCAAGGCCGAGTCCTGAAAGGCATTACAGTTTGCCTTGGTCTCTTAGGATCGTTTGTTCTACGGGAAGCCAGCTGCCGTGCTGTGAGGACACTCAAGCAGACCCTGGAGGAGCCTGTGTAACCAAGGCCTGCCGCCGATGGCCAGCACCAAATGGTCAGCCATGTGAGCAAGCCACCTTGGAAGCAGATCCCCCGACCCTAACCCAGCCTTCAGATGACTGCAGCCTCGGAGAGACTGAGCCAGAACTGCCCTGCCAGCCCACTCCCCAACGTCAGACACACTGTGAGAGAAATGTGACAGAACTCTGACCTGCAAGACAGGAAAGGAAGTCTGCTGGGAGGCTTCTGGGAAAGAAGTTTTTTGGAAAGTTAGAAGGGGGCACAAGAAGGGATGTGATCTCATCAGGCTTTTCGGCAGTGGCATGTAAGTATGTGATGTTTGGAGCTCCTGCAGCCATCCTGAGACCATGAGGGGTTGAGCCTCAAGACAGATGCCAACTGTATGGTCAGCAGAGTAGGAAGATGGAAAAGCTTGGGTCACTGATGAAGTGGTCGAGCCACAGGATGAGCCAGCCCCAAGACAGCCAGCATCTGTACCTTTTGGAATGTGAGATAAATTGACCTGATTGTTCAAGCTCCTCTTCATTGTGAGAACAACAGTTATTTATTTATTTAAATTGTTAGTGATTCTCTCAAGGAATACCAGGGATTTTAGCTTATAAGGAATGGCAATGGGTACAGTTTTAGGGAGCCAGGTATATACTAGTTGCTTTGAAGACATCAGCTTATTTAATTCAACCCCTGGAAAACCCTCCAAGGTAGAAACTAACATCCCCATTTCTCAGATGAGGAAACTGAGGTTCAGAGGACTAGGACTTCTCTAAGGTCACACAGCAGGGAAGTGGCAAAGCTGGGCCTGACTGGAGTTCCTGTTTTGCCAACAGAGGAACACGACCCCAAGTTAATTTCTGGGCACTTCTCCCTACCAAGAGTATCATGCTCTCAGGTAGTGCAAATTGCATTTTACATTAAAAACGGAAACGGTAGCTTGTTAAATAAAAAAGAAATTTAAAGCATGCCAAGGTCAAACAGTGTTGCTATGAAAATGAGGAACAGTGAATGCATAAGTGCTTTGTAAACAGAGGCCACCCAGACCAAAGGGGCTGCTCTGATTGGCTAGCTTTCCACCCAAATGTGCCCCTCTGCAATTACTTACCTCATTGTAAAAGAAATGGACCGTGTGGTTGTTGAGTTTTAACGAAAGCGTTTTCAGGAACGATATATAATATGCCATAATCTCCTCATCAGAAAAGTCAAACTTATGGACAATGATAGAATTTACATAGTTATTAGAGAGCAAATAATCTAGAGGGAGAAAAAAAAAAACACAAAAGAAAACAGGTTAGTTAATTCATGCTGGAGGAAAGGCAAGCAGAGAAAGTCCAGGAACACGCAGATGACCATGAGAATGTATAAGTACTTGAACCAGTCAAGTTAATAGGGAGCAGCTTAACCTTTAACCAGCAAAGAAATCAGCCACCAGGTGTAGTCACTAGAAAGTTCAAGAGCAATGCCAGAGAAAAGTCGGGTCACCCTGCCTCCCACACCACAGAAAAGAACACTTGAGCATTTTCTTTCGTTGCTGGCAGAGTTCAACAAGAGAGCCGGGGGGTGGGGCAGACGAGCTGGTATTTGGGTATTTTCACAAACCACCCACGGATGAGGGTAAGCTGCACTGTATCTTATAAAAGCTGGCCCCATTTTGCCATCAAAAGTCACACTGTCACCCTCGAATGCCACAAAGGGCTCCGCGTGGTTTTTTCCTTCCCATAAGGCAACATGATTTCATAAAGGCCACTTGAGGCTGAACCTCCACTACCTGCCCAGCACCAGGCTGACTGCTTTACATTATCATTCACTGTCATGATGATGCTGCAGAGTGGGCCTTGTTTTCCTCATTTTGCAGATGAGTAAAAACTAAGGCTAATTACCTGCCCGAGGACACAGAGACAGTAAGTCAGAGATGGAATTCAAACTCAGGTCCGATGTCCTGTGTTAATACCATGCACTAATGGGGGCCAAGGATGAAAACTGGATGACGAGGCCCTGTGGGCACTGGAGCCACAGGAGAGCGGCTACCCCTGCTAAGCTCCCAGGGCCCAGCCCCTGCAGAAGTGCAGGCCCAGTGTGGTGAGAGCTTCCAACTGTGCAAAGGAAGCTGGAAAACACTGATCATAATGCTGTATCTTGGATGTTGAAATGTCAGCCACTAGATCAACTCATTCTGAAAGCTGTGCTGGCCAGTGAAAATGGGTCTACAGACCCACTGCGACCCATGGGCCCACTGTCTGCAATCTTGGTCTTGGGCCCTGGCCAGACACGTTATCCTCTGAGTCCTTACCAGACACCCTGCGAAGCCAGTGCTGCCATGCCCACTGTCTGCCTTTCGGGCTGCCAGCCTGTGAGCTCTGCACCATCCCAGCTGCCTCCCCACTGACAGGGAAAGGCAGGACGTGACCCACACATGTACCACGGGCAGACGCGGTGAGGCAGGGGAGCAGGATGGGGCACAGCCTTGCTACTCAAAGTCTGGTCGTGGGACCGGCAGCACAGGAGCTTGTCAGACGTGCGGAGGCTTGGGCCTCAGCCCTGGCCTCCCACTCAGATCTCTGGGAGGGCCCAGCACTCCGTGTGTTAAGAAGCCCTGCAGGGCTTCCTGTCATGCTCATATCTCAGAGGCACTGGGTTCAAAGGTAAACTTGGACCCACACTGCCTCTGTCACTTCCTAGCTGGGTGACCTTGGGCAAGACACTTACCTGCCCCAGCTTCCCTGTCTGAAAACAGGAACAAGACGACCTTCCTCGTGGGGCAGGGCATTGTGAGGATTAAAGGAGATAATGCACAAAAAGCACTGAGGGCCGGAGGAGCACAGAGGGAGCACCCAATCACATGAGCTGCCGCCCCTCATCTTCTCACTAAAGCTTGGAGATTCCTAACCTCCACCACCAGTCCTCCGGTTACCATGACTGTTGTCCTTGGGGGGAACAGAAATAAACCGTTAAGTTTTATTTGGTGCCAAAGAGGTACCTAACTTAGGCCAATCACAGTATACTGAAAAGGCTAGAATCACCAAACACAACACTAAGAGGCATCCAGGAGCGCGGGTCATGAGATGGGCCACAGCGTGGGCTGGGTGCTCCTCAGAACACAGTCTCAGAGCAGGCTTTGCAGGTAGGACGTCATGTCTGTAGTTTTCAAAATCTCCTAATTATAACAATTCCTGAGGTCAATCTTGGGGCCCACGTTAAGAGAGGAGGCAGTAGATCTGAAGTGGGGTCCTAAGAATTTTAATATGTTTAAAAATGAGGTTACACACACTATACAAAATCTATGGGATGCAGCAAAAGCAGTCCTAAGAAGGAAGCTCATAGCGATACAGCCCTTCCTCAAAAAAACAAGAAAAATCTTTAAAAAAACAAACAAACAAACAAAACCAACGTAACCTACCACCTAAAAGAACAAGAAGAAAAAACAAAACCTAAAGTCAGCAGAAGGAAGGAAATAATAAAGATCAGAGAGGAAATAAATAAAAGATAAAGAAAACAATAGGAAAAAAATATCTATAAAACCAAGAGCTAGTTTTTTGAAAGGATAAACAAAATCAACAAACCTCTGACTAGGCTCACCAAGAAGAAAAGAGAGAGAACCCAAATAAGAAAATAAGAAATGAAAGAAGAGAAATAACAACCGATACTGCAGAAAAACAAAAAAACATAAGAGAATACTGTGAAGAGTTATATGCCAACAAAATGGACAACCTAGAAGAAATGGACAAGTTTCTAGAAACATACAGCCCACCAAAACTGAATCAAGAAGAAATAGATAGGGCTTCCCTGGTGGCACAGTGGTTGAGAGTCCGCCTGCCGATGCAGGGGACACGGGTTCGTGCCCCGGTCCGGGAAGATCCCATATGCCGTGGAGCGGCTGGGCCCATGAGCCATGGCCGCTGAGCCTGCGCGTCCAGAGCCTGTGCTCTGCAATGGGAGAGGCCACAACAGTGAGAGGCCCGCGCACCGCAAAAAAAAAAAAAAAAAAAAGAAGAAATAGATAATTTGAACAGACCGATCACTAGAAGTGAAATAAAATCTGTAATTAAAAAAACAACAAAACAAACAAAAAAGACTCCCTGCAAACAAAGGTTCAGGACCAGATGGCTTCACTGGGGAATTCTACCAAACATAAAAAGAAGAACTTACAGTGATCCTCCTCAAACTCTTCCAAAGGACTGTAGAGAAGGGAACATTCCCAAAGTCATTCTATGATGCCACCATGACCCTGATACCAAAATCAGACAAAGACACTAACAAAAAAGAAAATTACAGGCAAGTGTCTTTGATGAATATAGATGCAAAAATCCTCAACAAACTGAATCCAACAACATATAAAAAAGATCATACACCATGATCAAGTTGGATTCATCCCAGGGTCACAAGGATGATTCAACACATGCAAATCAATCACTGTGATATACCACATCAACAAAAGAAAAGACAAAAGCCACGTAATCATCGCAGATGATAGATGATTAGATGCGGAAAAAGCGTTTGATAAAATTCAACATCCATTCATGATAAAAACTCTCACCAAAGTGGGTACAGAGGGAACATATCTCAACATAATTAAAGCCACTTATGACAAACCCACAGCCAACATGATACTCAATGGTGAAAAGCTGAAAGCCTTCCCACTAAATTCTAGAACAAGACAAGGATGCCCACTCTCACCACTTCTATTCAACATAGTATTGGAAGTCTTAGCCACAACAATCAGAAAAGAAAAAGAAATAAAAGGCATCCAAATTGGAAAGGAAGAGGTAAAATTGTCATTATATGCAGATGACATGATACTCTCTAAAGAAAACCGTCAAGACTCCATACAAAAACTATTAGAACTGATAAATGAACTCAGCAAGGTAGCAGGATACAAGATTAACATACAGAACTCTGTTGCATGTCTTTACACTAAAATGAAATATAAGAAGGAGAAAGTTAAAAAAAAAAAAAAGACAATCCCTTTTAAAATCATGTCAAAAAAATAATAATAAAATACCTAGGAATAAACCTGACCAAGGAGATGAAAGACTTATACGCTGAGAACTATAAAACATTGAGAGAAGAAACTGAAGATACTTTAAAGAAATGGAAAGATATCCCATGCTCTTGGACTGAAGAATTAGTATTGTTGAAATGGCCATACTACCCAAAGCAATCTACAGATTTAATGTGATCCCTATCAAATTACCCATGACATCTTTCACAGAACTAAAACAAATAATCCTGAAATTTATATGGAACCACAAAAGACCCAGAATTGCCAAAGTAATCCTGAGGGAAAAGAACAAAGCTGGAGGCATAACCTTCCCAGACTTCAGACAATACTACAAAGCTACAGTAATCAAAACAGTGTGGTATTGGCATAAAAACAGACATATGGATCAATGGAACAGAACAGAGATCCCAGAAATAAACTCACACACCTACAGTCAATTAACCTTCAACAAAGGAGGCAAGAAATACAATGGAGAAAAGACAGTCTCTTCAGCAAGTGGTGTTGAGAAAGCTGGACAGCCGCATGTAAATCAGTGAAGTTAGAACATACCCTCTCACCATATACAAAAATAAACTCAAAATGGCTTAAACACTTAAATATAAGACATGACACCATAAAACTCCTAGAAGAAATCATAGGCAAAACATTCTCTGACATAAATCATACCAGTGTTTTCTTAGGTCAGTCTCCCAAAGCAACAGAAATAAAAGCAAAAACAAACAAATGGGACCTAACCAAGCTCATAAGCTTTTGCACAGCAGAAGAAACCATAAACAAAACGAAAAGACAACCTATGGAATGGGAGAAAATATTTGCAAACAGTGTGACCAACAAGGGCTTAACTTCCAAAATATACAAACAGCTCACACAGCTCAATATCAAAAAAACAAACAACCAAATCAAAAATTGGGCAGAAGACATACAGATGGCCAACAGCCACATGAAAAGATGTTCAACGTTGCTAATTAGAGAAATGCAAATCAAAACTACAACGAGGTATCACCTCACTCCAGTCAGAATGTCAATCATCAAAAAGTCTACAAATAACAAATCCTGGAGAAGGTGTGGAGAAAAGGGAACCCTCCTACACTGTTGGTGGGAATGTATATTGGTGCAGCCACTATGGAGGACAGTATGGAGGTTCTTTAACAAACTAAAAATAGAACTAGCATATGACCCAGCAATTCCACTCCTGTGCAGCATATACCTGGAAAAGATGAAAACTCTAATTCAAAAAGACACATGCACCCCAATGTTCACAGCAGCACTATTTACAAAAGCCAAGACATGGAAGCAATCTAAGTGTCCATCAACAGATGAATGGATAAAGATGATGTGAGATAGATACACACACACACACACACACACACACACACACACACACACACACACACACAGAGGAATATTACTCAGCCATAAAAAAGAATGAAATACTGCCATTTGTAGCAACAAGGATGGACCTAGAAATTTTCATACTAAGTGAATTAAGTCACACAGAGAAAGACAAATATCCTATAATATCACTTCTATGTGGAATCTAAAAAAATGATACAAATGAACTTATTTACAAAATAGAAACAGACTCACAGACATAGAAAACAAACTTATGGTTACCAAAGGGGAAAGGGGGGTGGGGGAAGGATAAATTAGGAGCTTGAGATTAACAGATACACGTGACTATATATAAAATAAATAACAAAGACCTACTGTATAGCACAAGGAACTATATTTAATATCTTGTAAGAAAAATGAAGTTACATATATCACAAATCTAAAGCTTGATATATGTGAAAATGTACATATATATGAATCTTAAGTACTCATACCTGTGTGTGTGTGTATATATACATATATATATGTATATACACACACACACACACATCTCACAAACCTTAGGTGTCCAGCTTGATGAATTTTTGCAAATAAATACACCACCCAGATCAGGCAGTGCATTTCCAGCTCCCCGAAAGGTCCCTCACACCCCTGCCCCGTCAATACTCTCTTCCCAAAGCCAGCCCCTAGCCTAACTTCCAGCACCACAGACTCGCTTTGCCTGATCTTGAACTTCATATACATGGACTCATACAGGAAGCTCCCTCTGGTGTCTGGCCTCTTTCACTCATCACCACATCTCAGTTATCCATGTTGCTGCATGTGTGCTAGCAGTGCATTCCTTTTTCTTCCTTCCTCCTATATAGTATCCTGTTCCTTGAACAGTCCACAATCTACCCACCCAGAATCCACACCTGTAACAACCAGCCAGGTGATGCTGATGCCTCGAGCACTTCTTTTCATGCTGTCTTGCCAGCTGTGGTTGGCTGGGGATGAATGGGCTTGCCGGAGAAGGAATGTTAGCCCCACTGTGACTGGCTAGTGGCTGCCGGGCCACCAGGGGCACAGACGCCTATGCTGGCAGCTTGAGATGTGCAAGCTCGGGCTTCTCGGCTGCAGTCTGGAAGTGGAAGAGCCACACGCTCCCATCCTTCCCCAGCAGGGACTTTACCAGGGCCTCCACGACATGACTCTGTGGTTGATGAGGCCACCATGGGGGTGGCGGAGATGCCTCTATTAATCGACTGGGATTTTTCTACTACCCCCTTACTGTGTGGCCAGCTTTCTGTGGTCTCTTTTTATAATAAAACCAGGAGTCTATAAGTAATCTCAGGCTCTCAGGCCTTCTGTCACGTAGGTCACCAAACCCAACAGGCAACAGGTGCACTCGTGAAATGGCTGCTTGTAATAATGAAAACCCGGAAACCACCTAAACGCCCATGGTCACGTTAAATAAGTTATGGCCCAGCAAGACGCAGCTCTTAAACCAAACAAGGTAGGGATGCATGAACGGACAATATGAAAAATCTAAGATACGCTAGTAAGTTGGGAAAAATAAAACAAACAGCAAAATGGTATGTGTCCACTGAACTTTTAGGGTGAGATTCTATAGAACTTTTGCTTTCTACAGTTTTTTAATGTTTGATTTCTGTTGTTGTTGTTGTTTTATAATGAGGACATTTTCTCTCTATAATTAGAAAATAAAAAAAAAAGCAAAACTCACCCATCCTTCTCACCCCCATACATCCAAGTTCTGTAAACTGTGAGTAATTTCTGCTGCTTTGGCAGGCCTTATGAAAGCACTCCCCTGTATGGCCAGCAGCATCTGCCTGGGTTTTCTTATAGCACAGCACCCTTTTTAGTCCTAGTATAAGAAAGGCCACATGATCCAGAAAGCCCAGAATTTTCAACCCCCTCTTCAATCCAGTAGCCCTGGGGTTAGCTGGGTTATCAGAAAACATTCATTTGGGGGAATGCTGGATTTCATGATAAAACCAACTCTAACCGGACACTTCCACCTGCCAGACCCGATCCTACACTCTGCACACCCACTGTCACACTCAATCCTCAAACCACTCTAATCACCAGGTACTAGCATTATCTCTCCTTCACAGATGCAGAAACTGCAGCTTGGACAGTTCACTCCCCAGAATACACCTGGGGTGTTTGTGGCAGAACCAGGGCTCAGAACTGCTTGGGTCTGAGTCCATGGCCCGTACCAGCGAGCTGGGTCTTCCCCTCTCGGAGTTTTCAGAAACCACATGCAACTGATATCCAGGGTAACAAAAGCTGTTGGGAAACCACTCAGGGAGAGTGAGTCAACTCACATTTGGCAACTCACAGACATGGGGAAGCGTGTAAGGAGAGTCTCCTGGGACAGCAGCACCATCTAGTGGCCATCAGTCTGCAGCTCTTTCCTATCCCTCCCTCCTCCCTCCTCAGGAGGAATGCCACCATCTCTACCTCTCTCCACCCATCAAAAACTTTTTAAAACCTGTCTTGGGGACCTAGGGCCTGCCTGTGGCATAGACATTCCATCACTTGTCTTCTCTTCCCTGCTTCCTGCAGGCAGGGCCTGGGGCTTGGTGCAGTCATCTTGGAAAATAAAACTCGTGATCAAGCCCGGATGATTAGGAGCTAAACCAGGGTTTCTAACCCTCGGCACTGTTGACATTTTGGGCTAACTAATCCTTTATTGTTGGGGGCTGTCCTGTGTGTTGTCCCTGGTCTCTACCCACTAGATGCCAGTAGCACCCGCCCCCCAGGAACGTCTCCAGACACTGACAAATGTCCACTGGGAGCACAGTCACCCCCAGCTGAGGACCACTGAGCTAGCTCACCTGGACTGAAACCCATTCTCAATTCCTGCCTTGCTAGAGCTGTCACCTGGGGCCAGTGACTCAAACTCTCTAGGTGTTAAATGAGGGCACTGACAGCACCTGCCTCGCAGGTTGGTTGTTTCAGACAAGATGGAGGGCCGGGAAGAGGCTCTGACACCCTTGTCAGTCGGGCAGTGGGACTGAAGCAGGCAGGTCAGGGGCCAAAGCCACACCCTTCGGTGACTGTATTTGGAGATGCAGCCTTTCAGGAGGTAATTAAGGTTAAATGAGGTCATAGGGTGGGGCCCTGATCCGAGAAGACTGGTGTCCTTCTAAGAAAAGGAAGAGAAACCAGAACTCTCCCTCTCTCCATGTGCACAGAGGAAAGAACACATGAGGACACAAAGAGAATGTGGCCATTCGCAAACCAGGAAGAGAGGCCTCACCAGAAACCCTGATGGCACCATGATCTTGGACTTCCAGCCTACAGAACTATGAGAAAATACATTTCTGTCGTCTAAGCTGCCCAGCCTGGGTATTTTGCTATGGCAGCCCAAGCACACCAAGACACACAGTAAGCACAGACATTCAAACAGCAACGCGAACGCCACGGCAAACGACACGCAGCTGACACTCGGAGGTGCAGAGGCAAGTGTCAGGACTGTCCTTACAAAGTGAGGTCTCGTGACTGATATTCTCGAAGAGGATGTTCAAGGTCTGCAGCAGCTGAACGCACACGTAGCGGCCTGACTTCTGCCGCAGGATGTTCAAGAAGAAGACGAACATGTTCTTCTCCAGGAAGAAGCTGGGGAGAGAATGGGAAAGTGTCAGTGGTCTGCTTCTACACGTGGAAATGCATGTCGTCCTCTGGTTGCACGCCCAGCACACGTGTGTGCACCCCAACAAAGGCATCCGCAGAGCAGCCAGATCACACCACCCGTGTGGCCTCAGCTTCTGCGATACCCAGCTCCCACGATGCTGTCCTCCATCAAGAAGAACGCGACCTTTCAGACTCTCTTCCCGGAACGTGAGAACAGTGCTGATTCTGGGAAGCAGTGATTTCTGACAGAGTGGGAAAGATCTTTCCCGACTAAATGATTACACAGTGACCTACCTACACTTATAAACCCAACAAGCAGCATTTTCCATCCAATATTTTATAAGCTCAGTTTTCCTCACTAAAGCCTCTTTCCTTTGCTTTCATAGCTTTGAGTGCTCACCAACAACCTGGGAACCAGAGTAATTCCCTACAAAGGGGTAAGATCATGCTGAATATTAAGAGTTTGGGTTTCTCAATTAACAAGTTTGTCATTTCCACATCTAGGGTATGAGAACTGGAAGGAAAGAGAAGGTGCTGATGTGGTCATGGGACCCCAGCTGGTCCCCAAGTCTGCTTTGCCCTTTTTGTCCTGGACGGGACATTTGTCTACATGCAGCCTGGGGGCAATGACTTTGGGAGGCACACATTGGCTCTTTTAGTCTTGAAATGCAGACCCCCTAATGCCTGTCTTTAAAGGAAGAAAATGACGTTTCTAGTTTGGTGTTCTCTGTATTCACGCTAAGACCAGATGATCTCTCATCTGGGATACTCAGAACAATTCCCGGCAGTCCCGTGGGTCTGTTGGTTGACTCAGTGTTGGGTCTCCCTCTTCCCTCTGCTGTCAAGTGGCAGGAACATGGGCCTGGCACTTGCTCAGTGCTGCAGATCTTCTGTTTGAATCCATGAAAGGGTAAATGAATAAATAAATATGACCTTAAAGAGACCTCTAAATTATTTTCCAACTCTGATTCTGGGAGCCCGTGTGCCTACAAACGCCATCCATGTTGATCCCCAGAATATTTCATTCATTGGACCTATCGTGTCTTCCTTTGCGGCAGGTTGTACAAAGCACTGACTCCCAAGTATCACCCAACAAGCTCACTGCAGCCCAAGACCGACTTGGGAACTTGTTAAAATGCTTGTACCTACATCTTGCCCAGGGGTAGATTCCGTAGGTCTAGTGTGAAATCCAGGAGCCTGGATTTTTAAAACTCCCTAGGGTAGTAAGGGGCTCCGTGGAAAAGTGGCTAATTCTAGGGCTGGGGCAGATAAAATGCAAGATGAGCCTGGAGCACCTCAGAGTACCAGAAAGTAAGGAAGTGCTCCAAAAACCAAAAGGATGGGGCTGAGGCAAAGGGACACAGGAAGCAGCCTGAAAGAGCTCCTAGTGCCTGAAGCTGGAACAATGCCAGCAAAAAAATAAATAACGTAGTATTGGATTATAACCCAGAGGATAAAATAAATATCCATGAGTCCATATTGATATACATGTGCCTTGCAGATACTGTGTTTTTTTTTACAAATTGAAGGTTTGTGGTGACCTTGTGTTGAGCAAGTCTATTGGCGCCATTTTCCCAACAGCATTATTTTTTAACTGAGGTATGTACATTGTTTCTCAGACACAATGCTATTGGACACTTAACAGACTACAGTACAGTGTAAACGTAACTTTTATATACAGTGGGACACCAAAAAAATTCATGTAACTCGCTATACTGCAATATTCGCCTGATGGCGGTGGCCTGGAACCAAACCTGCAAGATCTTCAAGGGATGCATATAAATAAATAATTGAATAGATAAATAAATGAGGAGAAGAGACAAACCTTCCACGAAGAAGAATTTCAAACAGTGTATGTAGATACTCCCCCCTTTACGAAGGTGGAGCTTAATTCCCACGCCCCCAAGGTCCAGGTGGGCTGAACTTAGCAACTCACTTTCGGAGACTACTGTAGGGGAGGGGGAAAGAGTAACTTTAAAGTAAAAAAGCCTGGCAGACACCACCTGAGCCAAGTGATCAGGTTAACCTCTCCAGGAATCATGTGGATATCAGGAACGCTGACATTCTGGGATGGGAAGGACACTTCCCCTCTGTGACACTCTTCCCCAAAATTCCCAGGCTAATCGGGAGTGAAACCCAGATTGGGGGACATTCTACAGGACAGCTGGTCAGTACTTCTCAAAACTATCAAGGTCATAAAAAACAGGAGAAGACTAAAACACTGTCACAGACCACAGGACACTGGGGAGACGCGACAACTAAAATGACTGTGGGTGCCTGGATTGGGATCCTGGAGCAGAAAGAGGATGTTAATGGAAAAACTGATAAATTCCAAATCAAGTCTGGAGTTGATGTAATGGTGATGTTTTAAGAAATGCACTCTAGTCATATAAGATATTAACAGGGAAACGGTGTGAGGGGTAAATGGGAACTTTCTGTACAATCTAAATCTAAAATTATCCCAAACTTAAAAATGGATTAAAAACAAGCTCTCTTGGGGCCTCTTTGGGGCAGTGATTTAAGAATAACTGGGCCTCTAAGAGCTCGGTAGTTTTTCTAAGACGACGGATGGACTCGGCCATTCTAGTAAAGGTGATGTGGTTTCTAATCTTTAACCCAAGGGTCTTTCTCATTTCCATAAACAGATATCAAGCAACCAACAAATAGTAAATTCCCCATGGATCCTGAAAGGCAACTAGTCCCGTATATGAGCAACACCTATTTATTACTCGTGCTTTCCCTTGGGGAACTCAGCCAGTGTCACAGGCCTGCATTTTAAACAATTTGCATTTTCCACAAGTAGCTCCATATTAGCTAACCTCGCTGACGAAAATATAGAGCTATCCAGAAAATCACAATATCTAATAAGAAGCCAGGTTGGAATGGAACACCTGTATTTGTTTTAAATGTGTTTTTTAAGTGGCCTCAACACTTATAATTGAGATTATTTTATATAAAAATAAAATCTGTGTTTGGTGGTTGTCATAACCCTAATCCTTCTGCACTCAGATGCTGGGACAGGTCTGTTGAGGAAAGTAGTTCATGGGTTACGGTCTTTGCTTTTTAACTGTCCAATAGGGACACCCTTTTCTTTAAATAAATTTATTTAGTTATTTATATTTTATTTTTGGCTGCATTGGGTCTTCATTGTGGCGTGCGGGCTTTCTCTAGTTGCGGCGAGCGGGGGCTACTCTTCGTTGTGGTGCATGGGCTCTAGGCGCGTGGACTTCAGAAGTTGTGGCACGCGGGCTCAGAAGTTGTGGCTCACGGGCTCCAGAGAGCAGGCTCAGTAGTTGTGGCGCACGGGCTTAGTTGCTCCGTGGCATGTGGGATCTTCCTGGACCAGGGCTCAAACCTGTGTCCCCTGCATTGGCAGGCGATTCTTAACCACTGTGCCACCAGGGAAGTCCCAATAGGGACACCTTTTAAAATGATCATTTGCTAACATTTCTTGAGTGCCTAACTCTGTAACAGGCACTGGGCAGGGAACTTGCTCTCTCTCACTTAAAGATGAGCAAACTGAGGCGGGCCTGAGACTCTTCACCTAGGAAGTATGAGAGTGAGGAGAAATCCCTCCATGGGCTCTAGGTGTGAGCCGTTTGACCTTGAGCATAAAAAGCGGTGGGGATGAGGATAAGGATGGGCATGAGGATGAAGATGGGGAAGGGGATGGGGATAATGATGGTCCTCTACCCTCGGGTAGTTGGGAGACTTAGAAGGATTATCTCATCAAGAGCTCAACACTATGGCCACCCATCAGTAAACACAATCAACGTTAGCCCTTAGTGTCTCCACCTGGGGAAGGGTCTTTTCAGTTCACTTAGAATCTAACTACTCAAGACATTTTCTCCTTCCTTTGGGGGAGATAATCAGACATTACTTGGAAAATTATCCATGATCTTTTCAAATTTTTCTAGGGACACTGTTTTCCATAACTTCCCCATTTTCAGCAGGCCTTTTTACAGTGTTTCAAGGACATTTTAGAGAGACAGAGAGAGAGACAGAGAGGGAGAGAGACAGATATCTGTGCAGGACCAAATTGGCATCAAACCCTGACATCATCAGGAATGACTCATGGTACACATTTAGAAAATTATTCAAAGGAAGAAGAAGAATCAAAAAGCAAAAAACCAGAAACCCTTACTCAAATACAGAGCTGTCATTCTGATCCCCCCAGATCAGAATCTCGGTGATGGATCGGATGGTCTCCACCAGCAGGTTCCTGTTCTGTTCTGTGACGGTGGTGTTTTTGGTCAAAACGTGGTACAGATATCTGAGAGAAAGGAAAAGAAAAGAGAACTAAAGGTTACCAGTTGAAATGTAAGCCAAGCTCAGTGACCATTAGCAACATTTTAGGGACAATTTGGCTGTGCTTTTTACAGACACAGTTGTTAGCACAATTCCCATTTAGAAGAGACATAACTCACCACCCGAGAAAAATGGCAGACAATGCTTCGAAGTGTTCAATAACCAGGGACACACCAACCCAAACTGAGGCAAGACTGTCAAGCTTTTGAAGACAACCATCCTCAAACTCCAGTGTGTGCAAGAGAATGACCTGGAGAGCTGGACAAAGCGGGGCCACTGAGCCCACCGGAGACTCAGATTTAGCGGCACTGAGGGAAGACCAGGCATCGGCCTTTTTCACTCTCCTGGGTGATTCTGACGCTGGCAGAGCAAGTGGAGACACACGGCTCAGTGCCAAAAGCCTAAGACCCGCTGCCTGGCTGATGCAGAGATCAGACGTGGAGTCACACAGCAGGGAGGGTGGTCCCAGAGCCAGTGGCTGGGGCACAAATCAGGTGCCGTCATGATCACCCTTGGAATGCCCTTAATCCCCCATGAAGCACAGAACTGATGGCTCAGATGAAGCAGGTGGCTTGCAGTTCAAGGGCACAGCTCTTATTTGCTGTGTACAGAGTAAAGTGAAGTGGGTTTGAGAGGCGATGGCCATGTATTCAATACTTCACCCACCTGAATGTGCAGGGACGGGCGGGCCCGGCCTAGTCCTGAAGGCCCTCTGCCGCTGGTGAGGGCAAAAGCCAAAGAATCGCAGAGGCCGCTCCTGAGCGGTGTGGGGACTAGCAGCCTGGCCGATGCCCTGGGAGCGCCACCTGGCACGGTTTTAAGAGTGTCTCCAGGGCCGGCAGACTGAGGCAACTTCAGCTGTCACGGCTTGGGAAGGAAAAGGGGGCAGCAAGAGGGAGTGACTCAGGAGTATTCACTTCCCGACTTCTTTTCTGGCCACCTTCAGTTTGGGGGTGGGGGACTGGCGAGAGAAAGGCAGGGAAAGGCTAGATAGGTCATACCATTGACGATCTCTAAAAATGGGTAGCGTGTAAAGAGGTAGAATCTTGCAAATGGAACCACAGGGGCCATCTGCTGCTTTAGGGGGTTTTAGTTATCAGTGCTTGTGCTGTTTGTCTAAAGACACACTATAATCATTTTTTTAATCATTTAGTTAATCTAATTAATTAAAACTACATGCAACTTTTAACATGCAGTAACTAGCATAGCTCTCCCAAAACAGAACTCTCTAGCACCTGTGCCCAAATCCACCGGCAGGGCTGTGTGTGGGGGGGTGAGGCCAGTGGTCCCCTGTGATTAGGTGACTCCACAGCACTGACCCACCCTGGGATGAATCCAGGGGACCCACTCATGAATCTACATCTCCATCCTGCCTCGACTGCCTCTTCCTCAAAAGGCTCAAAGAGCAGAGTTTTTCAAACTGTGGTTCACAGGCCTCCTACATCAGAATCACCTGCTTAAGGTGCAGATTCTGGCTTCCGACCCCGGACTCCCAGAATCTGAGCCCTGGGTGCAGGGTCCCAAATCTGCATTTTGAAGGAGCTCCCACTCTTGTTTCAGAGCAACGGCATCACTCACGCCATGGCCGTCAGTGACACTGCCCATGTAGTGAACAGTACGCCCCCCACCTGCTGTGACAGGCGTTGTTGGCAACATGGGGAGAGGCGGATTCTCCCCAGTCTGGTGTTTCCTTCTGCGTAGAGGACAACATGCATTATCACCTCACTATCACACTCCTGGCCCAGGAGGCAGCAGCCTGGGTAAGTGGGTCCGCTCTGAAGACCCCCAATAGGGATAGGAGAGGTTAAAATCTTGACGATCAGCCCTGACTTCTATTCACTGTGCTTTCTGCCTGAAATACCCTTGCTGCCCTGACCAACCAGCAAACTCTTACTCATATGTCGAAACCCAGCTCAGGCATCTCTTGGTGAAGCCTTCTCTCTGGCACCTCTGTACCCATATGCATTTGCTGCTGCACAGACCACCCTGATTGGCAATGATCTGCCTCCTTTACTAGACCTGAGCTCCTCAAGGTCAGGAACATCATCTTATTGATCTTGGTGACCTCAAAAGACTCCAGAATGTCTGGAACACAGTAGGCGCTAAATAAATGCTGAATGGGGGAAGGGTAGGGGACCATCTCCATGAATATGAGGTATATCAGAGCATACAAGACCAAACATAGTCAAGGGGCCAAATGCCAAACACAGCAAGTAGTGGAACAGAGCGGTAGTGAAGAGTTCAAACATTTGGAGTCCAGTAGACAGACCTGGGCTTGATTCCTGGCCCTGTCTCTTCCTATAAGTGGCCTTGGACAAGGCACTTCACCTCTCTGGGCGTCAGCTTCTACAACCATCAAGGCCTCCTTGCTGGACTGTTCCAGAGATTTGATGTGATACCACATAGAAAGAGCTGAGCATGGTGCCTGGCACACAGTAAGCGCTCAACGGATGCAGGGCTAGCTGCTGCTACTATTATTATAAGGTGGTTGTTATGAGGGGGGCTATTAAAATCATTATTACATTATACAAAGAATATTCCAAGAAGGTAGGAAGGAGAGATCAGGCTGGATCCAAACAGTCATGAAAAGAGGACTTCACTGCAGGAGTTATGGGAAGGTCCAGAGAAACCAGAGCAGGAAGTGGAACGTTTGGTATTAGCTGGGTGATGTCAAGCAAGTTACTTAATCTCTGTACCTCAGTTATCTCACCTGTAAAATAGGAGAGGCAATAGCACCTAAATACTTTAGTACCTACCTATCATGGTGTCGTTAGGAACAAACAAGTAAAAAGGTAGACAACTAACCTGGCAGTTCCCGTGGATGACACAAGTGCTGGCTATTACTGTTATCATTGCCTTCACTAAATAACCCCTCAAAAAAATTCTAGTAACTATGAGGAGGCCCTTACAGACAAACCCAGGGTAAGGGGAGGGTGTTAAGTCTTGAAAAGAAGATTCTAGGCGCTCCCATGTGCGGTGCATGGCCTACATGCCTGGCCCTGTGTGCCGGCCTTCCTGTGACCCTCACACTCGCAGTAACCTGGGGCTGTGCACATCACTAGCACGGCACAGGCCAGGACAGGAACTGAGGGACGCTCGCTCAGCAGCTCATCTGCAGCCAAAGGGCAGAGGCTGGCTCAGAGGGCTCCAGCCAATCCCCCACCTCGGCAGGGCTTAATGCGCTCTGCCTTTCTCAGTGGCGCCATCTGCTGGCATGTGGTGATGCCGCACCAGGGTTTCACCGCATGACCACGCACGAAGTTGGGTGTCTTTTCACATGTTCAGAGCCATTTAAATATCTACTTTTGTGAGGTGTCTGTGAAAGTTTTTTGCCCATTTTTTCTAGGTAGAGAGCCTTTTTCTTATTAATTTTATGGAGTTTATGCATTCTGAATACAAATCCTTTACTGGATATACCTATGGCAAACATTTTCTCTGAATGTGGCTTGCCTTTTCACTCTCTTTACAGTGGTCTTTCGATGAGCAAAAGTTCCTAATTTTAATGCGGTCCAGTTTATCAATCTTTCCCTTGGACAGTGTTTTTTGTATCAACCTTAAGACATCCTTACCTACCCCAAGGTCATGAAGAAATGCTGTTTTCTTCTTTTAAAAAGTTACTATTTTACCTTTCACATTTTGACTTAGAGTACATTTGAAACTCATTCTTGTGTATGGTGTAAGATACTGGCCAAAATTCATTTCTTCCATATGACTATCTAGTTGATTCAGCATCATCTACTGAAAAGGTCCTCATTTCTCCAAAGCACACCGATGTCACTGTTGCCATTAATCAGGTGACCACGCATGGGACTCTTTCTGGATGCTCTAGTTCCACTGATCTATTTGTTTACCTTTGTGCCAACACCATGCTGTCTGATCACTGTAGCTTTATAATAAATCTTGCAATGTGATAATGTAAGTCTTCCAACTTCTTTCCTTTTGTTTTTCTTTTATTATTATATTGGCTATTCTTGGTCCTTTGAATTTCCATATATATTTTAAAATCACCTTCTCAATTTCCACAAAAATACCTGCTAAGATTTCCTTTAAGACTGCCCTAAACCTATAGCTAAATACAGAGAGAACTGACATCTTTTGGAGAGTGTAACATGATGACATTTACATTTCCTTCAAGGTTTGCTGGATAGGGGGCTTGCACATCTTTTGTGAGATTTATTCCTAGGTATTTGATGGGTTTTTTGATGCTGTTGCAAATGGGAGTGTTTTAAAATACTCATTTTCTAAATGTTTGTTGTTGGTAGATGGAAACACCCGCTAGATCTCAAGCTCTAAATTCCCACCGCACTGGCTCATCTTTTTGCCCTCACGATGCCCTAGCACACTGTTTCAGGTAATCTTTTTGGAAGAGACCCTCAATATATGTTTGCTTAAATGTAGTGGGGGGAGAAAAGAAAGAAAGCTGAATGGATTAAAGATTAATATTTTAATGCTGCGTCTAATTCCAGGACTTTGGAAGCTCAAGTAATTCACTACCTCAGAGATACTAATATAGTTTAATAACTTTCTGGTCTTAAACGTAACACTCATTTTAGAAAGGTTGGAAACCTCAACAACAACAAAAAGAGAAACGGCAATTGTCAATCATGCCACTGCCCAGAGATGACCACTGCTGGAGTTGCAATCTATTTCCTTGGGTCTTTTTCTTTGCTATGGATATTAACATAGTTGAGCTCATGCTGTATGTCCATTACCATGCCCATCTTTCTTCCCACCTCTGGCTAAAATAAAAGCATTTTTGTTATTGGCAACTGTTCTCAAGCATCAGTAGTGACTACGTAGTACACCACTAAAAGGACGGCACAGCAGTTCCTGGGCATTAGATTCCTAATCGTTCAGATGATCAACAAGCTAACAGCCATCTCTATGTGCAAAGCTGTGTTCCCTATCTAGATAAGATTCCAAGGACAGTGACAGATTTTTCTCTTACAATGATAGTAACTGCTA